CCCTCACACAAATCAGTCTCTCCGCAGCCAGTATACTCCAGTCCCCAAATTGAAACTTAGGATATGTATCAAAACACAGTCCAAAAAGAGTACAAAGGAAAAGCATTCCCGCAATTCATCACTCCATGCCCATGCAACGAGGCTTTCACGAGGTGTTGCGAAGGGTAACTTCTTACACTAGGTCCCAATTGCGACGCAATGTGCTTTGCCAATCCCAAAACGTCCGGGAATTACTTCTCCCTCATGTTCGTCGAATCCTCATTGTTTTATAAATTCATGGTTCTTGTGCGCGGGGATCTCGTAGCCCTTCTCTCTCTCTCTATACTAATAATTTACCTGACGTTCCTTGGACATGCATACTACTGCGACCTACCCTCACCCGCTCGACAGCAAAATTTTGTAAAAAAAACCAGAAATTTTTTGGGAAAAAATAGACAAAGTGGTAGGAGGTTGGAAAAATCTAGGAAGAGGTAACATTGGGGTCGTACTGAAAAAGATGGAATTAGGGGGGGGGTCGTATTTTTCAGAAAATGATCACAACGCAATGGCGTGCCCTGCTCTGAAAGCTTCCACAAGCCATAACTTACCCATCTGCAAAGATCTCAGAGACACTCTCTAGTACTGTCCTAAACATACGTAATCTTTGCCATCACATTTTTACATTTAGAATTTGCTTTTTTTGCAATCATTGACACTTATTTTTTATTTCTTTATGACAATCACTAGAACGATTTGTTAAACACTGTTGCCAGATTTTCTTGCACTGTTGTTCCTTCCCACATATTAATACCAGTTCGGCCCTTTCATGTACCGTCTTTTAATTAAGGTATTCATTCCGGCTATTACTTTATTTGTACCAATTATCGCGTTGATGTACCTCCTTGGAACACCGAATCACGCTGCTCGAAGTAAGGTTTCCTAACCTTATATTTCATACGGAAGTTCTATCTGAGTTAGCCTCAAAGTTTTCTCTTTCCAGTTACACTTATTCTTTAGAATACACAAGTACTATCTGACATTCATTAGTGTTGCTGAATGTCACATAAGAGTTGAAACTTCCGAAATAATCATGTAAACATGAGCTCATAAAATTTTACAACGGGCTCCCATTCCGTGTGGTGACCTGAACAAATTTCACCATCAGTAATCGGCAACATCCATCCATGGCACTCCCTCTTTCATGAAAATCTCTGAACAAAGGCATTTTAAAACTACTTACAGGTGAACGGTGCAGGAAAAATCGCTCTAATCATGAAGAGATTAACGCAAACGACCCTGTGACGACAAGTGCAGTTCAACACTTCTCAGTTTCGACTACGCGCAGAAAAGTATCAGAATACTACTGGGCTAGTTGGCATGATGCACGGCAGCGCTGTGCGGTAGTGTTGGGCTGCACTCGTACTTTGCGGCAGCGACCATCGGCGTTTTCCGCACCCGGCAGCGTCAGCGACAAGGGATATATATTTTCATTTTCACTTTGAATTCACCCGTTTTCAAACCAAATTCACCCCTTTTCAAACCAAATTCACCCACCTTCCAAATCGAATTCACCACACTTATTAGGCTGCGCAATTCATCAACCAAATCACGCCAGACACTACTGCGGGCCCCGCCCCTCGGCCACGCCCACTTGCTTTTTGCGGAATTTTGATATTTTTTCAAAATTTTTGCATTTTTGGACTGCTACGTGAAGCCCCGCCCACTGTGAGAGGCTCCGCCCACTTTGGAGAAGCCCCGCCCACTTTTCAAAAATGGTGCAAATCGGCAGTATAGGGTCTTGGCTTTCATGCTAGGGTCTCGTTCGTCACTCGGAACAAGAAAATCAGGCAAAGTTTGTTCCGAATGATCAGCAATACCCTAGCATGCCAGCCGAGACTCTATACTGCCGATTTGCACCATTTTTGAAAAGTGGGCGGGGCTTCTCCAAAGTGGGCGGAGCCTCTCACAGTGGGCGGGGCTTCACGTAGCAGTCCAAAAATGCAAAAATTTTGAAATATCAAAATTCCGCAAAAAGCAAGTGGGCGTGGCCGAGGGGGGGGGGGCCCGCAGTAGTGTCTGGCGTGATTTGGTTGATGAATTGCGCAGCCTAATAAGTGTGGTGAATTCGATTTGGAAGGTGGGTGAATTCGATTTGGAAGGTGGGTGAATTTGGTTTGAAAACTGCTGCAAAGTGCGTGAGGGAACGACCAATGACAAGTTCTTCTGCCCCTCAGTAGTCACAGTCTCTGTCCCACATATACCCCTCATTAGTCGAAAACTTGTTTACTGCCGCTGAGGAATTTTAGAATCTCAAGCGATCCACGACCACCCTGTGAGCGGGAAAAGCGAAGCTGGCTGGCTCATGATTCATTCACCTGCAGAGCAGGTGGCTCGGCAGCTAACACCGCTGCTCCCTCCATGAGGGGGAGGGGAGAGGGTGTTGAGGCACAGTTTGATGGGAAGGTGGGGGGAGGGGCATTCTGCACTTGGGCTGCTTCCCATCGACGAAAGCAGCCTCGTCCCGAGTTAGTAAGTTTTACCATGATGGCTTGATGAGCTTGCTCCAGCTTCACAGAAGTTCACAGGTTTCACCAGACGAGACTCAACTTAAGCAGCTCGTTATATGAAGCTCAACTGAACCATCGCTTTTTCACAAAATATTTTAACTTTCCCTATTTGACCGGGGGATGAGCATCTATAAAACTCCTGCGAATAGAACACTCTATAGTTCAAGCTTTTAGACCCAACCCATCTGATATACATCCCTCACCCCTCCCCCTTCCCTCTCATCGAGCAAATCAAAAGTGATTCTCAATATCCATTTAATACGTGCAATATAGAACGCTCCAGCCCACTGAATCCGACTCCACTTGTGAAATAGCCTCTGCAGGCCAAAAAGCGCAATCCGGACGTTGCTGGTCCGGAGAACCCTTTCGCTAAAACCTATTCCTTTCAAGCATTTTCGCATGTATACACTTATTTTATGGATTCGACGAAATCCAACAACAATAAGCTTTATTCAGTACAGCAGCACGGAATCAGTATTAGCATGTAATCTATGAAAACTCAAGTTGAAAATACATTGAATCATAGAAAAACTCGACACATAGCGCTTAGCACTTCATCAAAAATACGGTATTCAACATCAGGACATGGAAATATCGCTTTGGCAGCAATGGGATGCCACGGCTGTGTAGCAGCTATGACACAGGTCATGTGCAACGAACCATACAGGACCTTCGTGACAGGACCTATAAGGGCATGTGAGTTTTTCGCAAAAATTTCGAAGTGAATTCGTTCATCACAAAAAAATAAGCAATAATTGATGGTGGATGTAGACGAGGCAGTTGAAAGTGGTGTTACGTTCCACGATTAGAGATCAATCCCTGCTCGGCTTCCAACGATGCAGCAGCGTACCACTTTCTTCAATAAAAAGTGCACGGGAACGAGGCTGGAGGGGAGTGGTATCCGAGAGCCGTTTTCAACTCCCCAGCGCTATTCTCAAGGCGCAGCATTTGCATCGATACCAAGATCCCCAGCGAAAAAAAAACACTTCTAGCGGTAGCGAACATCCAGAATTGAGAGGGTGCAGACAAGCAGTGCGTTTGGCCGCATGGCTGGATGTGCGGCAGTGCAGGCGGAGTATGGAGTCGGCACCCAGGTATCGCTACCGTCCAGCTTCGTTCCGCACTTTTGGAAGGAGAAAATGACGCGCTACCACAGCTGGGGATCCATTCACCTCACACACGGCAAGGACCGGGACCCTCGTAGGTGAATGTACAGTTTATCTTCACCCTAGTCTTCAATCCCTCGGTTAGATGGTGCCAGACTCAAGTGAGAGAACGATGCACAGAATGCTACAACGGTTGACCCATGTACCACACGGAACTTAGTCGCATTTGTGATAATGTTCGCCGCTGGAAGTAGGCACCGAGATGTCCAGCTGGAACCGCGTTCGCCACCAATAATGGCTCTGGCCTCCTGCTGAAGCACTGGCTATAGGGCTAGCTCTGCGCCTTCATCACGAAAATGTTATCCTTTTTTTTGCTTTGGCACCTTTTGCCCCCTTTTCCCCCACGTCCCTCACCCCCCCCCCCCTCCCTTGCCGCATCTTCCTCACCAAGTCTGATAACTTTGTATACTAGGTTCATTTGCCGTCATGACTTCAATACAATATAGCGTTTCTGGCGATTTAAAGCACTTTTGACAAACAATACACAAATCTATTGAAGGTATTTACCTCTCTAACCTGATAACTATGAAACAGTATCAAAGAAATAACTACTGAGGAAATAATGGTACGGCCCTAACCTACGCGAACGAACCTTGCCTCGATTGCCTACGGGCCATGAGGGTACAGCCCACTAGGGGCATAGGGAACATCCTCCCCTCCGGCTCTGCCAGGAGGTTCGGATGCATTTCCTCCTTTGTGGTTACCTGATATACTCGGCATCCTGTGGTGGTGCGGCTCCATTGCGTGGTACTGCTCGTTGTTGTCGAACGGCCAGCGTGGATGGACGAAGACGTTGACACTGGACGAAGAGCGGTGCGGAGCGACCAGTCGAGACGGCTACAGGACCTAGAGGTGACAGGCAGGCCAGAGTCGACGCCGACTCTACATCCCTAGCGGCTCTCGAATGTTCGAGATCTAGGCTACCATGTACACGAGTATCATCAGCCACTGTCCATATGTGCCTCATACATATGCGGTTACTGGTGGTGTTACGAGCCATTTCGTCAGAATAACTTCTTTTTAGTTATTATTTTGAAAGTGATTGATTGAGCTGATTGTCAATGCATCATAATATAGCAGTAACCATTGATCCCTATGCTGACTCATATGATTGGAAATTAGACAATCTAAGGTGGCAGGTGCTTCCAATCAGTGGGTATCAGTAAGCGGAGTTCGAATATGCATCAGTGCTCCTAGGTGAAAGACAGGAGTTCGAATATTCTCGTCATAGCTTCTATGTCTAAGGCGACTTAGTATTCTATTATCGCTCTCCGCTGTGTGTCATTCTATGATCGAATGTAATGAATTCGATGTCAGCACCGATTTTTACCTGATTTTTATGCACTGTATATCGGTCATGGATCTATGTATGAATTTGCTGGCAATATATTGTATTCTCTTCAAATCAACAAAACAGATGAGTGCCTATAAATGGTACTTGTTTGCCAACCAAGTTGTATCTGCCCTATTCGACTTTGTTTATACGGCTGTTACTCTACCAGTGATCTTTTTCCCAGTACCCATGGGTTATCCTGCAGGAATATTTGCTCAATGGTTTTCTATTAGCTGCCATGCTTCTATAATAATGGTGGTTATAATATGCTCGTGGCTTTCCGCTACCACGCTCAATCTTTTCAACTATCGCCGAAGTTTGGTTACTCCTGCTTACCGTTACTTGAGCTGCTTCGGTGACCATGGTATGTGTAAAGTGCTAACAATGAATTCATTAAGCTTCCAAAACTCTGGAGTAGAGGTGCAAAGCGTACCGCATTCCTGAAAACTTTCATTAGGTCTCTAATTCAGAGTGCAGGTACAGTGCGTGCCGCATCCTGAAAAAGGGTTCGATTCATGGAGAAGAATCTAATCTCTCTTGATTTATGGGTGGCATGGTCGAAAACTTTCCACGTGTTAGTTGACTTACACTGACGCATGAAGCAGTGAAAGCGGTCAAAACCGCTAGGTTAGAAAAAGGGTTAGAGCAGATACCAAAGAGGGTGGGGAGGGGGCCCTGTGCTCAGGTGAAGCTTTTTGAACAGCTTGTGCGTTGACGCTTTTATGTGCAGTCGGAGTAAAGGGGTAGGTTAGATTGCTTGTCGCTGTAGTTGCGCTGCACTGCAACCCATTCTAACTTTCCCTATTTGGGGCTTCCATTCTAAGACGTTATCAAATTTACATGAAAATCAGAGAGTAAAGTCACTCGGCTAGACGTTAATCAACAGGGCTGTCTAGGTAGTTGGACCTATAACTATAAGACTTCGTAATGAACAGCTCAATTGTAAAATTTCCCCCCCCCCGCACCAAATGTAAAAGGACCCATGGTAGCCTTGCAGCTGCTACTGCTCGCCAAATGTGGTGAAGGGATTTCATTTGAGACTTCAAATAGGAGGAGAAACTTACTTGAAGGAAACTTGAACAAAAATCGACATTCGAACCTGAAACTTGAACTTGAACAAAAGTCGCCGTTCATTTACTGGAAAATTTGAATGTTGTGCTTTGAGGTCACATTTATGCGAGCATTGCTATTGTGGCTATCAATTTTATTCCATGTACTATCGGTGTACTCGATATACTCCCTAATCAGGAAGATGCTAGGAGATGGGTCGAAGAGGTAATTCTCATTCTGGCCACTAGCAAACCTTTTGTTCTTCTTTCCACGTTTATTTACTCGCTGTGGGTCCAACGGTTAATCCACGCTTTCTTTCAAGGAATATACATGTGGCAAATCAGTATTTTTCCTTCCACTTGTCCAAATATTCACTCCATGGAAAGTGAAGCAAATCGCTATAACGGCAGTTTCACTGGCCTGTTTTGCATTCATAGTAGCCTTATGCTGTATACTTTTGACTTTTTATTATGTGAGAAGAAATAAAAGCTTATCGCGAAAGACGAGGATGATGCAGATGCGTTTTATGATCTATCTTTGTATACAGGTAAGCGAATGGAAAAAATGTTAGGCCTGAAAGGAAGTTCTGCGACACTCTGACCATAATTTCTGGTCGAGTTTTCCTTCATTAAGCGACACCTCCAATAAGATAATCATCATTAACTAGGACTAGTGCCCATCTTTCGCACAACTTCCCAATTCCACACTTGTAGAACTATGGCAATCACGATGAAAAGAAGAGGTGAACCTTATAGGCGTTGGTATTCGGAATTTTCGCTTTCCAAAGGGTGCAGTAGGGATCAAAGTAAATGGTAGTTACAGGCCGCGCTCCAGCTTCCGGCTGCACAAGCTGGGTTCGTTGCATATCCCTGACGACACCCCAATAAAACCCTTAAACTATAAGAAAACCTCGTCCAAAACCACTCTTTGCCGGTCTTTCGCACTGCTGACAGCTAAAGAACGGAGCTTCCCCTAATGAAATTGAGCGTGACGTTATCTTCAACTGTTCAGAGAGACTGTGGCACTCAGAGCTGTCCCATTATGTAGCTACCAAAGTTCCAGCATTAAGACAACTTTGACCTTTGCGGGGATGGAAGCGTTGATAACAACGAGACCGGTGGTGGTTAAGCGACATCATTCCTGAACGCATGTGTTGGCTCCCCCTACTGTGAAAGATGGCCCTACAGTTTTCATGATATAAGATGGATGTAAAAGTATGCTGAGCTTTGCTGGGAGGCTTTTAAGGCACAGGGCGATAATTTGATGCTCGGTGCAAAAAGGTACCAGGGCTGCTGCACAGTACGGCAATGAGGAAAAAGCGAAGTGAAACGGTCAAAAGCCTGGATGAGTTTCTCGTTACGTGCTCGCCACTAAGCATACGGGAAGGTTGCGGCTTTAACTATAAGTCACACATAAATATATCCATGCAGCATCACGGCCGCTTCGTGTCAACCCCTTCGCTTCGTATTGTATTAGGTTGTCCGGAAAGTTCTCAGCGTTTTGAGTGTTTCACTTCAAGCGATCATAACTTTCTTAATACTCATCGGATTCAATCGAAATAGGCACCGTTCGAATCAGCACACTTTTGCCAATGTGACAGCAGTCGATAAATCCCATCAAAGCAAAAAACTGGGTGGTCGAGAATTTCTAGATCCACGAAGGCTTTTTTTGCCTGGTCCTGACTGATGAAGTATTTTCCAGCAAGGAAGTTCTGAAAATGTCTGAAAAGGTGACAGTCGGTTGGTGAAAGGTCTAGAGAATATGGTGGGTGAGGTAGAACTTCAACTCCCAATTCGTTCAATTTATGGATAGTGATTTGTGAAACGTGTGGGCGGGCGTTGTCATGCAAAGGAATCGGACCCTTTCTTTTGATAAGTGTTGGCTGCATCTGACAAAATTTTCGGTACAATTCGTCGATTTCTTCACAGTAGGGTTCTGCTGTGATGGTTTGGCCTGGTGATAAAAAGTTATAGTGGATCACACCAGCCGATGACCACCAAGCCGTGACCAGAATCTTTTTTCGTGAGGGTTCGGCTTTGAAAATTACCTCGGTGGTTCGTCGGCGTCCAACTGCTGTCCGTAACGTCTCCTGTTATCATACATGATCCACTTTCATCAGGTGACAATTCGGTCCAAGAAACGGGTCGTTTCTGTTGCGCAAAAGCAGTGAAGAGGAAACCTCGAGACGTGCCAATTTCTGCCGGTCACTCACTTGTGGGGCACCCACTTATCGAGTTTTTTCACCTTCCCAATGCGTTTCAGACCATCTGCAACACTGGATTTGCCAACTACTACTAGCTTTTCTGCAATTCTCTTCGAATATTGTTTGGGATGGGTTCAGCTCCACAAAACGCCTTCAAATCTCGTCAGGCATTGCTTTAGGTCGACCGCTAGAGGTTCATCTTCAGGGCTGAGATCTCCAGAACGAAATTTGTCGAACCATTGCCGCACGGTGCTTTCTCTAGCACTATTGGGCCCCCACACCTGGTTAATTTGTTGAGCTGTCTCGATTGCGGATTGACCCAATTTTTAGTCGAAGAAAAATATGCTCTGAAGTTGCTTCAAAAAGTCTTGGGAAAAGGGGTTTATCAAGCGGTTGTGAAACGGTAATCATACCATCAGATAGCGCAAAGAATTCTCTTCAGGATGTACTGCAATGAATGTACAAAAAATGGTAACGCAAAACGCTGAGAACTTTCCGGACAACCTAATACTTTGAAAATATAGCGATACGAGCATAAGCATTGGCCGATCATATGCGGACGGGAGGGCGCGGTGGGCATCCGGGTCAGTAGTATGTTGATTGATAGGGCGCTATTAAGGGAAAATGCGCCCGCACCGCCTGCTCATTGGCTTCCAATGGTGTCCTCCTAGGCGTATTAGTCCTATACGTCTCAAGCGTTTTTATCGTGCCACTTGCATGTCACCTCTGAAAGCTCCTACAGGTCAAATTTCACCTATCTGCGAAAGTCTCAGAGAACACCCTCCACTGATTAGGGGTTAGAACATATTTGTAGGTCGTCCCATTCAAAAGTGCGCAAGGTTTTATTCATATAAGACGAAGAGAAAAACAATGGAAAAGTAATATTCTGGCTTTGAATTGAGTAAATCCCTCCTTCACCAATCGCCCGCTCCCAGGTTCCCGAAAGCTTTGGACCTGTGGTACTTCGGTTTTGCGCAACAAGTGTGCGAGTATAAACTGCTTGTTGCTGCCACAATTTCGGTTAATGGCAAAACATTGTAGCGTTTGCCGTCGGAGAGTACTCTCGAATGACGAGGATAGCTGGAATCGAAATGTTGGGCGAATGTGGCGATTGAACCCAGGTCTCAGTATAGTTTGTGTCCCGGCACTGCCCTACAATACAGACTCGGGGCTAGCAGCATGACGAGGAACACTAGCCTCCTTAGTGGCTGTGTGTGGTGCTAATCCATTTGTAGATCTGGTTGCCGAGGAACAGGAAATCCACACCGGTAGTGGCGGTATTGTTCTCTGTTTAGAGCCGCCTGAAAGCCACAGTGTGGGAATCCTTCGCTATGGTGATCATCCACTTGCGCCCACTTACAGTCGTCATCCTTGCACTTGATAGTCAATGTCAGTGCGGCTGCGTGCGGCGCGGTCGCCCGCACCCGTACTGCACCAATCGTTGAACCAGGAAGTGACATTACTGTATTATATCCTTCGTGTTACTCGTTTTCTATCACTTTTTGTCGCATACGCGTTTCAACGAAAAGGCTGAGAAGGCTTCAAACAGTGTGCACGCTCCTTCTCGCCGACACGCCCCTATCAAGTGCAAGGATGACGACTGTAAATCCTCATGGTAGATTTCGGGCGGCTTCTCATCAAATTGACGATTGTGAGTTTTGGCTTGAGGTTTCAAGACCACCCATATTTCATCTAGGGGCGAGGTGGGTTTTCACAGTCGTGAATGACATCTTATGCTGAGAACATTACTGCTATAGGCATAGAATCGGTACTGCTTTCGTGCTTTTACAAGAAAATTATACCCATGCGAACCACCCTCCTGACCATCCTTAATTAATCGAAAATAACTTGGGCAGCAAAGCAATTGCAGCAGGGATGTCAGTCTCGTAAGGAGCTCGACATAGGTCCAGCCTCGACCAGACATCCAGTGCTTGACCTCATCCACCCTTTTTTCTTGTGCAGGATGAACTTTATGGGATCATCCACGACAACAATTTTTTTTTTCTCTCTTCTTTCTTCAGGCCCATGAATCGAACCTTCCACCTTGTATTTCGAGAACACCATCACACAAAACTACTGGTCCGGCGCAGGTTGAATTTGAACAGCCCACTTCCCTCGTGATTTGAGAATCCGGCGCTGATTTTCACCACTCAGGCTTCTTTTCAATTCCTCGAGAATTTCTTCTGTGGTTAGGTTCGCCAAATTTCACAGGTACTTAGCTAGAGGTACTAGCCCCGAAATGGTATAGTAGCCCACTGCTCCATCTTCTTTGCTTTTCTGCCATTCCTCTACATGTCTCGGCACTCTCGAATGGGACGACCTAATACATAATGCATTTGCATTTTTACATTTGAAAAATTGTTCTATTTTATTTTATTGAAATCACTGACATTTATTTTCTAATTCTGTATTACCATCACTAGAACAATTTGGTAAAATGTTGCAAAACTTTTCCTCCATACATTTTTTCCCTTACCACACAATAATGTCAGTCCTGCCGTTGCATGCACTGCCTTTTAAGGTATCCATTCCGGCTATCACTTTATTTGTACCAATTATCGCGTTGATGTACCTCCTTGGAACAACGAATCACGCTGCTCGAAGTAAGGATTCTAACCTTCTATTTATAGAGGAAGTTCGGACCTAAGTTTTCTCTTTCCATTACTGTTGTACAATTACATTTACTTATTAGGGTCGCAAGTATCATCTGTCATTCAATAGTGATGCTGAATGTCACATAGGAGCTGAAACTTCTGAAATATTCATGTAAACATGAGCTCATAAAATTTTACAACGGGCTCCAATTCCGTGTGGTGACCTGATCAAATTTCACCATCAGTAATCGGCAACATCCATCCATGGCACTCTCTCTCTCTCTCTCTCTCATGAAAATCTCTGAACAGTTGACATTTTAAAACTACTTAAAGGTAAACGGAGTAGGAAAATTCGCTTTGATCATGAAGAGATCGACGCAAGAGTCTGCCTGTGTCCATCAGCGAACAGCAGCGTCCATCAGCGGCCAGCAGCGTCTAGGAGTGTATGGCGAAAGGAGGATAGCAGACAGCTGGTAGAGTATGAGGAGATAGGAGGGTAGCCGCCAAGTATGAATAGAGAGTATGGGGTGATAGGGGTACCGTCTGTCTGCTGCCTTCCCATCCCATACTATCCACTTCCGGACCCTGCTGGTCCTAGATCGATATCTACAGGGGGGAGGGCAAAAAAGTCACTTTTACCGAGTCACATACTAGCAAAGTTTTCGCTGCCCAGACAGAGGACGTGGATACGAGTACCAGGGCGGAAGATACCCAAGATGTTCCTCTATAAGCAGGAGCTGGCTCTCGCCCATCACCTTCATGTACACCAAAATA